TGTATCCCTCCCTTTAGAGCAGTAAGTTCCCCCCAGCCCTGGGCGGTTCCAGAGACACTGTCAGAGAGTCAGGGTATAGAGTCAGATACTTTAGGAACCTACCCAGTTTTCTATTTTGCTGTGGCTGAGCACCCGAGTCACAAGACAAAGTCCTTGCCACTCTCCCCTCCCCTTTCCACAAGCAGCAGTTTCTTCCAGTGGCCACAACTACCTCACACCTGTGGCAAGTACAGTCTGGCTCCTGCCAACAATCACTCAATATCCAAGGGCTCTTCAGTCCACTTGTGAACACTACCAGTCCTAGGACTCTCCTGTGATGGCAGTGGGCTCCCTTCTAGCCCACAGTAGGTCCAGAAATACTGCCCAAGAGTCAAGGCCTAGAATCAAGGACCCTAAGAGGGCTGTTGGTGCTCTATACCACTATGGCCGAGCTAGTACCTAAGGTGCAAGATGAAGCCCCCTTTATTTTTCCCCCTGCTTTTCTCAAACAGAAGGAATCTTTCACCAGTGCCACCACAGCTGGGAATGTACTGGCTCTCACCTGAAGCCGCACATCTCAGAGTCTCACCCAAGACACATGACATACTCCCTGGTATCACTGGTGGTTATTTAGAGCCCATGGGCTCTTTAGTCAGAAGGTGATGAATCCTGCAATGACTGGGCTCTTCCCTCCAAGGCAGTGGGTTCCCTCCTAGCCCAGGATGCATCCAGAAATGTTGTCTGGAATCTAGTGTCTGGAATAGGAGCCTCAGGACTTTGCCCAGTGTCCTATCTTACTGTGGTTCATCTGGTATCCAAGTTGCAAGACGAAGCCTTCTTTACCCTTTCCTCTTTTCTCCTCAAGCACCGCAAGCAGAGGGAAGGAGTATCTCCTGGCTGCGAGCTGTGTTGCCTGGGTTTGGGGAGGGGTGCACAAGGACTCTCCTAGCTGCCCTGGCTGGTATCTCAGTTGATTGCTTGCTTGCTTGCTAAGTCTACTGCCTCTAAGCACAGCACAGCACAGCACAGCATCAGTACTTGCCCAAGAATTGCAGTCTTTATGGCCTACACCGCCTTTCAAGTTTATTCAGCACCCCAGAGCACTTTGGCTCATGGTGGTGAGGCTTGCTGGAACTCAGGTTTCAATTGCTAGGATGGGCAATTCCTCTCTGGGTAGGGCCAGTCTAAATACTCCCTCCATGGGTGTCAACTGAGATCTGCCTGGTGTTGCCTTCTGCTGCGACAGGGTAGCACTGAGTTCCAATGCAGAGTCCCACAGTCACTGTGCTCTCCCTCCCCCAAATGCACAGATTCTCTCTCCACACCATGCTGCTGCTGCCAGGACACAAGGGAGGGGTGGCTTCAGTGATTCAAGAGTATCTTTCCCACCCTCTTCGGTGCCTTTTTCAGTGATATACTGTTAAAACCAGATACTGTGACTGCTCACCTGATTTTTGTTTTTTATGAAGGTGCTTTTTTCTGTGTGGATAGCTGTTTAATTTGGTGTTCTTGCAGTGAGGACATTTGGTGAAGGCTTCTATTTAGCCATCTTCCTCTGCCTCCACTCTCCTCCTCCTCTGTGTTTTGAACATTCACATACAACTAGGTATTTAGTATTTTTGTTACATTTTATTCATTGTTTTTATGAGTGTTTAATGGGAGAAGTTCATATTAATAAGCCCAGTCCACCATGTTATGGAAGCCAAACTGTATAAATTACATTAATAAAAATAGCATTAATTTTTAAACCTCAGAAATAACAGCATGAGTATTATAATCTAAGTAATTATGGACATAGCAGATTCTTCTGAATAATCCATCTATGAGAAATTAGGGAAAATGTTATCCTAGTGAAATAATCAGACTTCTCATGAAATTATTAAAATTAATACCTAAATCACTTACAGACAGTATTTTGAAAGTATCTTTTGTAATTTAAACTTTACTTTTTTACTGATTTTATTACAAAATAGTTTCTATAACTTCTCAATCCTTGTTTTCATAAATACAACTGCCATCAAGTTCTACATTTCCCCTTAGAGCTAGAGCGTGAGAAATATAAATAAACCTTCAGACGTGTGAGACTGCCCGGCCCGGGTTGCTATGGAAGCTGGGTCACAGTGGGCCAGGCCCCTGTCCTCACTCTGGGACTGGACCACATCAATAGCTGCTCCTACCACTGACTCTTGGGCATGAATAGAGTTGCCTGCTTTTTACCCCTTTTTAGAGACCAGTGAAAATGCCTAAAAAGGTGTATGTGAGTAAAAGTCATCAACGAAGAAACAAATATGACTAATTCTAAAGCTGCACAATCAGAGGCTGAATAATTGGTACTTGGCTATGTGAAATACTGTTTCTTACTCCAGGTAACATATTATGCAATGAAGGCTATCAAGAATATTAGCAATGGCAACCTCAGAAGCACTTGTGGGGATTTATCTGATATGCACCATTCCTCCAACATGAACTCTTAATACACTTTTGATAATAAAGTCCTGAAGAATCTAAAATGCAAGGATTAGAATACCTATGATTTTCAAACTATGACTTGTGCAGCCCTGGGGCATTTGGCGAAGAAATCTCAGGGGCTGTTGTGGGAGTGGTTCCAATATTCACCATGCCCTCCTTTCAACCTAAGTGGCTTCACAGATTTAAACTTAATACTGTTCACAAACTAGTCCACTTAGACAGGGCTCTACTATTGAAAAAAAAGTTTCAACCTTACAATGATAGGAATCCAATTTTAGGAATTTCAATCTTATACCAAAAATCTGCAGGGAATATAAGGAAATAGTATTAATAACACTGAGTAAAGGTAGTATTGTGTGGCCCCCAAAATATCAGAATTTACTTCAGTTGTGATATGAAAACCCACAGACCATGAAAAATAGACCAGAGGTTCTAACTTTTTGAAAATTTTGGAAATCTTTCTTTAAATAAAGCTTTAGAAAAAGTTCAAACAAATAAAAACAAAAGCAGAGCTAACCTGATTTAAAAAAAAAAAAAAAAAGTAAGAATGGGACAGCTTCTTATTCCCTGTTTATTAGTCTTCCTCTGACTGCATCTTAAAATACCATCATCCTTCCCTCAACCAACCCCTCCCCACCCACAGAGCAAAACCCTTCAAGAAAACACTATGAAAAGGTAAAGCCAAACTAGTAAAATCACTTTATCCAGATTTAAAAGTGATCTGTTTCTAAATCACCATGAAGAAAATTACCATAATACTGTTCACATTCATTTTTTCAAAAAAATAAAGAGAATTAAATATATAAACTAAAATTTCTGTGTGCTGCATGCTTAGAAATCAGTTGCTTCTTTTCAAGGAATCATGAATTGCCATTTTTTTTTAAGAAGAAAAAATTCAAGACGGTGAAATGTTGTTATTCCCAAAACACTATTCCTGCTTATAAGAACAAAACGACTTACTATTGTAATGTCACTGACAAACTTCCTCCCTCCTGTTTGGGATATCAATAGAAAGTTTGTTCAAAGAAACATGTTTGGCATGGTTTTCCATATAGACTTTCCCCTCAAAATCCTTACACAACAATAAAATATTCCAGAATAGGAAAGGTTTAGGTGATCTATAGCAGAGACAATATAACTACATAAAATATTTCACCTAGCACTGGCACGTTGAAAGCATCTGATTTTCTTTACTAAGTTATATTTTCAAATAATCATCAAATTGTGAACACATTTTACATATAATGTTCTTCCGAAAATACACAGACAGGACCTGTTCTAACTACAAACAAATGTGTCAGAGAGAAAGTTCATTTAACTATTTAAAACCTGAAATCCGAAACAGTTTAAACATAATATTTTATGTGAGTTAACTTAGTCTAAACTTCAATTTATTTTAGTTACTTCAATTCTACTAAAATACACACTATCGAAATAAGCAATCAGATCAAAAGTAATATCTTTGCATTCTTTGCCTATCCATGAAAAGTGGAAAACAAACAAACAAACATATAGTTAACTTAAGAAATTCTACTTTCAGCATTTTAACAGTTTCAAAATCTATTAACCAAAATGTTCTTTAGGAGCTGGACTGAGCCTTCATATTATCATTTCTGACTTACAGAATAGAGAACATGTTACCTTTGACTTTTGTAACCATTAGCGTATTAAAGAAATCCTTTCCAATTTTAATTACAAAAATGTAATAATTCTTATAAATAAAACAAATAAAGCCAACATGGACACATATATTCCTTTACTTTTTACAAAAGTCTTTTATACAAGATATCAGTTTATGTTTTTCTAAAAAAAAAAAAAAACTACTCACATGAAAGAAATTCTTACTTTGCAAAATTGGGCTGTTCACTATAGAACTTATGAATGCAATAATAAAACAAAAGCAGCCAAACATTAAAATATGCCAATATTATGTCACAAAAACATTTCACTATTGCATGAAATCTTGAATACAATTTAAAAAAAGAAGTTTCTAAAAAGTTTGAATGCAAATAAGAATAAAATATTCATTAAGGATTACATTTTGCCATTCTGTACGTCTGCATCTCATGCCTAAAGCATTTTATTTGCGGGCTCTAAAAAAAAAATTTAGTTATTCCAACTCTTCCTTTAAATAATATGAGATTAATTCAAAGCAGCAGATCTCCTTTAGTTTCTAACTTTACCAAATTAGGTAGGCAAAGGGTTACAAAAGCAGTCATGATATTTTTGTCAGAAGTATTTTCAATAATGTTGATAAACATTTGATAGTTTCACTGACATTTCACAGGATTAAAAATATTTTAGAAAAATAATTCACTCAAAATACGTTATTTAAATCTCTGTATGCTCAAGATGCTACTTTGTTTTTCTTTTGTAACTCAAAATAATGCAGAATAATTTTTCATACAAGTAAAATAAATAATAACAACCTGGAGATAAGATTATGCTTAGGATATACTTTTTGAAGAAACAAAATCATATAATAAAACAGTACTATAAAATGCCAAAAAAATAAAAAGAAAAAAAGAAAAAACCCAGGAAATTGTACTTACAGCCACAGCTCTTTTAATAAATGGTATCTGTGTGCCACTGTCGAGGTCTTCATTTATAATAAGTCTTCTAGCCCACTGCCCTGCCCTGACAACACCACTACCATGAATTAAAACCATCAGTTTCTGTGGGTTTGTCAAAGCATCCTCACTCATAAAGATAAAACTCTTTGGTTCACTCTCAGTGGCATCTACCTGTAATTAAATAAAATTAAATAATAAAGAAATGTCTTTTGATCAGGCATACACATAAATGAAAAACAAACAATTGGCTGTTATAAAGTATTAAATGGTTACTATAGAATTATAGGTGTAAAAAACAATTTTAACACAAAATTAAAATATTCGGTAGAGATTAACAATTATATATTAGGTGGATGGGACAAGACATGATAGTAATTTAAATACAAAAATATAAAAAATATTGGTTGGCCGGGTGCGGTGGCTCAAGCCTGTAATCCCAGCACTTTGAGAGGCCGAGACGGGTGGATCAGGAGGTCAGGAGATCGAGACCATCCTGGCTAACACGGTGAAACCCCGTCTCTACTAAAAATACAAAAAACTCGCCGGGCGAGGTGGCGGCGCCTGTAGTCCCAGCTACTCGGGAGGCTGAGGCAGGAGAATGGCGGGAACCCGGGAGGCGGAGCTTGCAGTGAGCTGAGATCCGGCCACCGCACTCCAGCCTGGGCGACAGAGCGAGACTCCGTCTCAAAAAAAAATAATAATAATAAAATAAAATAAAATAAAATAAAATAAAATAAAATAAAAAATATTGGTAATATATTTCTCTTCATTATTATTGTATATTTAGTATTATATTATCATTGGAAATAAAAATAACTATTTTTTAGTGCCTCCTATAGTCTAACTGCTATGCTACCTGTTTTAAAAACATTATCTCATTCAATAACAACCCATTTAGATGGCACTATTATTATGCTGATTTACAGATGAAGAAATTGAGGCTTAGAGAGTTTAAATAAGTTGCCCATGGTCACACAACTATAAGTCTATAGTTGTATAACAGAAATATATTGCACCTATAATAAAAAATAGAAAACTGAAATTGGAAATAGATATATTGGAAAATCATAGAAATATATCAGCCAGGAATACCACTAAACTTTTAAAGGGAAGAAGAGGTAACTACTTAAAAACTAACCATCTATTCTATTCTTACCTGATCTATGTAAATGGACTTCCAAATTTCATTCAGAGTGTGAACACAGGATTATATAACAATTATTTTTACAAAGTCACATTATGTACTCCAATGAGTTTACTTTATAAACTAGTTACTTACAGAATAAAAAATATTTTTATCCATTTTGATTGTACTTAATATTTAGATTGTTAACTAAATGATGTATGATTTACATTTGAAAGACACAAAACACTTTTAGAAAGAGATAACTTCCCAACCTTTTGTTACATATGCCATGACACACCGAGTGGTATTCCACATCAGCACTGGCCAATGACTGGAAATTGAAGTCTTTGGATAGTCAGATCAAGCAGGAAGTTGACATTCTGATGGCTGGTTACACACTCTCACATAAAGGTCAATCCACATATTGTGTAACGCAATAACTCTTCACTTTGGCAACTGTATATGTTCTATACAATTATCAAAACAGGAAGTATACAAAAACTCTAGACGCCAAAAAAAAAAAAAAAAAAAAAAAAAAAAAGGCCCTGGATTTAAAAATTCCCCATTCATACACTTAGGAAGAGAAAAACAAAATAAAATACCTGTACTTCTAAAACAATCAGGCTAGTTTCAGTAAGAGATGGCTTAGGCATTTGTGCAAACAGAGCAAAAATGGCACTTATTTCAGCAAGAGCAGCATGGACACAGGGCTTAAAGATGAAATAACACCTTTTCATTGACGCCTTCCCTGACTACCACATTTAAAATCCCAAACATGTCCCTGAAAATTCTGTAGTCCCTTTCCCTGTTTTATTTTCCTCCATGGCACATACCAAGATCTAACATATTGTATGCTTCACTCTATATTTTTGCAAGTGTGTTTATTCACCGCCTGCTCCCTTCACTAGAATGTAAGTCCAGGCAGGCACAGAGTTCTCTGGTTTGTATCCACCTGTAGTCTCAGTACCTAAAACAAAACCTAGCACATTGTAGGCACTCAGTAATCAAAAACAATAAACTTTTGGAATGAGGAATCTTATCAAGTCTCACCAGTGACTTCCTTTAGATAAAAGGCATTTAACTAAATAATGGATCCTCTAAAATGGTTATAATACTTGCCTGGTTCAGAAAGCATATACTGAAGATTAAACTAGTACATAATTATAGAGAATTTTACAAGAGCTATACAATGTTAAAGAATTAAAATGACATAACTAAAATTTTATTAGCAATAGCTAAAAATACAGGAAGAGAGAGATGATATATAACACAATCATATTAGCTTCAGCTGCATGCTATGTCCAGAGTAAACAAATTATAATGACGACAATAAATATGACTAAAGCCACACAGAAAGATAAGTGGATGAGAGACACAGGAAAACCAAACCTAAGAAGAAAAATTCCCTTTTACCTAGGAACATTATATGAAAATAGAAGAATTACTCAGTTAAAGAGGCTTAAAAATAAAAAAAGGTAATGATGATAAGAACAAAATTAAAAAACTGAAAGGCAAAGCTGTCAGTGTATAACAAGAAAGATGCCACAGGGGTTTCTAGTCATTCAATTAGCAAACAGTATGCCTAAACACGCACAAAGAAAAGTGTCTCTTAAGGTCAGTGAGGCCTTAATGGATCCTGGAATGGCTATGGAGATGGATACCTATTTACTTTAATGTAAAAACCTGTAGTACAGATATTCCAGTAGGTGCTGATCACGGTCTTTTTTCCTATTTCACTAAGTCCCCTGTTACCAAGAAACTGAGTCAATTTTTTAAGCAATGGAATACTGGCACTTTGAAGTCCACACAATCACTTAAAACTGAAAGAAACATTTTCAGATGATAAAAATATATTTTTTATATTAAAATGCTGCTTGATAAAGGACCACTTGAGAGTCCAGGAGTTCAAGATCAACCTGGGCAACATAGTGAGACCCTGTCTCTACAAATAATCCAAAATTAGCCGGGCATGGTGGTACGCACCTGTAGTCCCAGCTACTTGGGAGGCTGAGGCTGGAGAATTGCTTGAGCCCAGGAAGTCCAGGCTGCACTAAGCCATGACTGCACCACAGCACTCAGCTTGTGCAACAGAGTGAGACTCTGTCTCAGAAAAAAGAGGGAAAATAGAATCACATTAAAAAAAAAATGCTGCTAGAGAATTTTTAAGGGGCTATAAATTAAGGTAACCATGAATAAATGAAAGTTTTACTTGAACACTGAGAAAAGTTGACTTTCAAAATATGAGAATACCAAAATATTAAAGAAAAACAACAATGAAGATGAATAATGTAATAATATTAATGATTAAGGGGTAAGAGCAGTATTCTAGCTGGTCATTGGCTAATATACACCTCAGTTTACATAGAACTCTGACTCTGCACATGGTAACTACAATGTACTTTCTAAGTTAGTGCTAATTTTAAATAGTAAGATATCTATATGAATAAAATAATTTCTTCTTCATTAACCTAATTAAGTTTGAACATATGGCTGTTCCAAGGCCATTTATCTTCAAACAGTGGTAATTTATTAAGCTAAGCTTTCATTAAGGAATACACATAATGGTCATTCCAGCGAATCACCTCACTTTATTGACAAATCAACCTCAGACACCTTTTGGTTGGTGAGACTGCACCAAACAATTTTTAGCAGTTACCAATTCATTGTGGAATACTCACGAACACCATTAATTGCTGAAACATGATGCATGTAATAAACTAAGTGAAAATCTGTAGTGAAGTTGTTAATTCATGTCTCCAGTGTTCTATACAAGTATGAGATATTTTACTATAATTGAGAATACTTTATGCCTATTTATGAGAGATGTGGGGTAAACATAGGCATGATCATACTGTTTACTATCAAATCAAATCATGGATTCTACAAAGTACTGTCATTTTAAAAAATGGTTCTTTTTCCCTTTTAAAATAGTTTATAAAACTGAAAGAGTTCATCACGAGGGAAAAAACAAAGGTTTGATGGTATTCTTTAAGTAAAAAGAACAACTATTTACACATACCCACATACAAAAACCCACTTTCACTCTGAGATTTAAGAGACCTCAGGAGAAAAATAACAGCTATTAAAAAATAGTTGTGAAGAAAAGTGTCACAACGATATCAAATATGTGATAATTTAAAGGGAAATACTAATTTCCTAAGACAAAATTTAGAGTCTTTTTTAAGTTTACAAAATAAGGGAAACTTTATTAACCAAAGATGGGTATGATGCTTAAGTTTCACATAAAGTAAATCTGTCTTGCTTATTAGCTTTATAGTCCAAATTTAAAATCAAAGGATAATCTGATCCATAATAAAAAGTTCCCTTCCATCTATAAAGATCAATAATGAAACTTAAACATATAATATGCTGTATACAGCCAATTATTTTGTGATTTGTTCTAGAAATTTGGAGACTGAAGTGAGTTTAAGGGTTCCCTGGAACTAGAAGTATTATAGAACTAACAGACTCAATATTAATTGTGCTGTATCAATAAATTAACCTAATGCTCTTTAAATATCATTCTTCAGAAACTCTGAAACAAAATTAACAACAAAGGAAAACTGGGCAAAGTGACAAAATTCTATCCTGACTTTCCAGAAGACCAAATTTCAATATATAGTTTAAATGAAGTAAAATGCTAGGCCTAAGTCAAAACTAAAACAGTAAGTTTAAATTCAAAAAAGACTGGCATATTCATTCAAAGAAAGGTACTAAAATCTTGACTTTAAAGGAAGAAAAGTTTCCAAATAAACCAAGGGTTGATGTAGCTGTTACACAGAATAATATTTTATTGACTAATCCATTATAAGCACTTGGAACAGTGTCCATCACCTAAAAAACATTTAAATAAATTTATGTTGAATAAATGAATGAATGAGTGAGTGACTAATAACGTGATCTTGCACTTGAGGTTACGTACAGAAAATTAAAAAGGTTTCCTTTAAAAAAGGAACTACAGAATCAGTTCTGGAGAGGGACAATATTAAGAAATCCCCAAACCCTCCAATTTATAATAAAATAGTACTATCCAAAGAATTTTTTAAACTCATGCAACATTTCATGCAAACAAAATTATCTACATGCAAAGTGTGCCTTAAATGAATTACTTTCAGCAAGTATCCCAGATTCTTATATATCATAAAATCATAAAGTCGTCAGGGACAGCAAAGATCCTCCGATCTAGTCCAACCACCATTTCACACATGATTACAATCTCTTCGTTTTAAAGCTTAATATTTTGTGGTTTACATTTAAAAAACAGGGGTTTGTGTTTTTTCTTTTTTTTTTTTTTTTTGACAATTTGAATCTGAGAACAAATCTCAAACTTTTTCACTCTGAAATGGCAAAATGTGCAAAATTCAAAAAAATGTTCTGCCAAAAAGGGAAGGAGCAGTGTTATGAAACAGGAAGCACCAGGAATGAATTTGGGAATGTGTAGAGGAAACAACATACTATGTGTAGAAATAAGACATATTTTTAAAAGACAAGAAATACTTAAAGAGACAGTGAATGTTTAATGTAACAAAAATTTCACTGGTTTACTACAAATAAATAAAAATAAATTATTCCAGTGAAATGAGAAAGGGTACAGGTAAGGGTAATCCTTTTAATTCAGTCATCATTTTCAAAGAGACTAGAAATCGGTACTTTTTTCATTTATACTGAAGAATATTCTTTATAAGAACTACTGTGCAGAATGAGATGAGGTACACTAATAAGCATTTAAAATTATCACTATCAACACAATAAACCTTAACATTTAAACTTATCACAGTCAACCCAAAACAAAAGTTTTCTTCTGAATTAAAAACTATTTTACTTGGAAATAAACATTTGAAATAAACATTTCTTTAAAATTTGACTTACTGGAATAGATATTTTTTTCAAATTACAATCCTTTTCCAGGAGCTCATATACATACTTCGTGATGATCTAAGTAGGAAAGAAATAACACATTAAGATCCAATATCATCCATTATCAAAACTGACATAAATTTTGGTAAATGATTGCAAGTTATTGCTCTGAGTAAATATCTCTAAATCTTGGAATGCTTTTATACTATATTAAGAGACTCCTAATTACCCATAATGGTTTACTTCCTGCTGCTATATGAATAACTATGAACTTTTGTATTAAGGATTGGGACCAATTAATACATATTAAATTAATACACATCAACAAAAATATACATGACTTTCTCTTTTTCAAGAGAATACTCTAAAAGTATATTTTCTTTTTTCGGTGTTTCTAAAATTTGTTTCTCCTATTATTTTCCTATAGGCATTATATTTAATATATTAATGGCACCTTAGTGACTGAATCTCAACACCTCTTTTGTGCTCACTGAATCGAGGAGGAAAAAGTCAGAGGTATTCTAAACAGAAAAGGAAAACTCATCCAGAAAGTCAGGGACTTGTCAGTATCACTGCTTATGCTAGGAAGAAGCACAGTTCCTCTAGATGTCCATGTTCTAATTCCTGGAACCTGTGAATAAGTTATGTTACACAGTAAATGAATCAACAGATATAACTAAAGTTTAGAACCTTGAAATGGTGAGATTTTCTAGGATTATTTGGGCGGTGTATGTCTTTAAAAGTAGAAAATTACAGAAGAACAGTGGGTCAGAGAGATGCAAAGTGACTCAACTGGCTATTGCTGGCTTTCAACATGGAGGAAGGAGACAAGCCAAGAAATGTGGTAGCTTTTATAAAGTGGAACAACCTTCAGTTGACAGCAGTAGAAAAATGAGACCTCAGTCCTACAACTGCAAGGAACCGAATTTTGCCATCAACCCTCATAAGCAGTAAACAAATTCTAACCCTAGATCCTAAAAACAGCTTGTTCACACCTTGATTTTAGCCCAGTGAAACTCATATGGGACTTCTGACCTACAGAATTGTTAAGATAACAAATTCATGTTGCTTTAAGCCTCTAAATTTATAGTAATTTGTTATAACAGCAAGAGAAAATTAACACACTATTTCTATTAAGGAAGGCAAAGAGTAAGGAAAGAGACATCTGGAATAAAAACAAATATTAAATAGGTGGTACTATTGGTCACTTTAAGGAGTGTTTCTTCACTCCAAAATGTCTTAAGTTATCTATGCAAAATACCTCAGAGAATAATTTTAGCAGAAACATAATTAAAAGTCAAATTTTATGAAACAAAATCACAGGATGATTTTTTTAGAAAATTAAGATGTCAATTGCTTTGGTGCTGTATTCGTAATCTAAAATAGATTCTTTATCCTGCTTTCTTCAAGGAGTCCAAAATTCTTTCTTCTATGTATACGTATTCATTTCATTTTAGAAACAGTATATTATATGTATGCTAGAACAGCTTTATCTTGGCTGGTAACGGTAATTTCAAAAGCTATGATACTACGTTAGAACTAGGTAATAAAATGCTAGTTATTAAACTAATAGTATTCTTATGTTTCAACATAGCAGTTAAAATTATGTTGATTATACTTTCACTGGGAGGTAGTGGTACTGTAGACTTATAAGAGTAAACTAAAAATGTGGAGGTTCAGACTAAACATATGTATAAAGTTATATAATGACCTGCTGCTTTAAGAGAAATAGATTAAATAAGATTGGCAAAATGAGTGGTTTAACATTTCTGAAAATACTCTACTATCTATGAAATCACAAAATATCCTTACATTTGAAGTAACAACAAAACCAGTGAAACTTAATCCAAATGAATTCTACCAGCATGCAAAATACTTGAGACATAATCTGAGAATTAAAAATTTAAATACTACTGACCTTACAAAAAGAAAAAAGCTGAACAAACTAAAAGTCAACAGCTCTTACTAGATCCATCAGTTAGTTAATCCCCAAAGTTTATACTACAGGATAATATAAAATAATCCAAAACTCAAAAATTGCTTAGTTAGCTTTGAAATACACGATAGAGCAAGTCTGGAATTTGCAACATATCAAACCAAGTAATAAAACTATATATCAAGTAAGAGTTAGGGAAACACTACCTAACTTGCCTAATTTGCTTTGATCTCCAAATCCTTAACATAGGAAAAAAGCAACCATAGATGAAATCGTCTATCTTACAGGCAATTCTCCGTGTTCAGCATGCTCTCCTCAAATCTAGTCATCCTCCAAAATACAGATCACATGTCAACTCCTTCAGGTAACTCTCATGGCCTCATCCCAACCCTCCAAGGTATGGCAGTGTCTCAACCTCTATTTTCCTCTGGACATGACTGAATATCATTGTCTAACATACTACTCAAATATCATTACCTGTCTGTTACACATCTACTTATAGAACACTATAATTTTGGTCTCCTCCCTTTATTCCTTCTTTTATTCACAGGATACTCTGGGAAACGGAAACAGAAGATACTTAAAATTGTACATGAATTCTCCTCTCTGTCCATCCTGTCTACATCTTTTGAGGCAGATACAAGTTCAAGATTAAAAAAAAAAAAAAAAGTTTTCTAATTGCTAAATCAAGACTTACGAAGAAAGCATCAAGGACTCATTCATTGTCTTCCAGATTGCATAGAATTGCACTCTGCATTTAGAAAAATCAAAAAATGAAAAGATAATTTCAAAAAGAAGATGAAAAAAGTATTTCTTTCCAAATGTTATCTGTGTTCAAATGTTCACTGGGAGCTGTGTTTATAGATGGAAAAGAAAAGGTTTAAGAGACTACGCAGGCTCTAAAGTTATGTTGTCATTCTAATAAGAAACAGAGAACTTCCGTTGTCTGGTTTGACGTATATAGAGCTTGGAAGTAGGTACTACTGACCTTCCAAAAGAAAAAAGGCTTAAAAAACTGAAAGTCAACAACTCTGATTAGATCCATCAGAGAAATGAGGCCACAGAGCAAACTGCTTCCCTGAAAATGGAGAGACCAGACAAGCAGATATAAAATCAGTTTACAGGGTACCTCAGCTGAAGCCAGTACTAATGTAAGAACACTTTAAACTGCAATGGAGGAACTGCTGGCGGGGTGTGGACTAGCTTAAGAGTTAAAAACTAGGAGGAGGTTCAACCTTAAGGGGGAGGGGACAAATTTTTATGAGTTTTATTCCAGGAGGGCTACTAGGTTCTCACTATGAAGACCACATAAAAACTCTCTCTTGTTTCTGGCTGGGGAAGGGGAAAGGTAACCATTTAAAAACACTCCAGAGCTCTCTATTGTTTTCAATAATGCCTGAAATAGTTCAAGAGAAACTATTTTATCAGAACCTAGCTGACCTGGGGGGAAGGGAAATGCCCAACTCCAGCTCACTTAAGAGATGAGACCTAAGAGAGGACTATAGAATATCTCCCCATCTACCCTAAGTTAACACCATATCAATAGAGTTCCTATAAAATACCAGGGGATTACAGCTAAAATAACTCTAAGAGTCAGGCCCTTTTTAAGGACCCTAGAAAAACCCAAAGACAACAGAGGAGACAAAAACAAAAAGCCTCTGACATGCAGCTAAAGCAAACAATAAACACAATCTAATGCCTAGCCAAATAAACATAAAATCTCACACTAAAGACCTATTTACTTCAGTTCCTTTCACCTGATATATAATATCAGGCTTTCAACAAGTAATTACCAGGCTGCTAAAAGGCAAAAACAGACAGACAAAACCCCCATGATCTGAAGAGACAAACCAAACATCAGAACTAGACTCAGATATGGCAGAGACAGTGGAATCATCAGACTAGGAATTTAAAACAACTATAATATGATAACGCTTTACTGGAAAAGTGCACCACATACAGAACAGATGGGTAACGTAAGGAGAAACATGGAAACCAAGGTACAATCCAAAGGAAATGTTAGATCAAAACCACTGTAACAAAAATGAAGACTGGGTTTAATAGGCTGATTAGTAGACTGGACATGGCCAAGGAAAGACTCAATGAGGTTGAAGATAAGTTAATGGAAAAGCTCAAAATGTAAATGCAAAGAGAAAACAAGAATGAAAAGACAATACAGAATATCAGAGAATTGTGGGGCAATCATACAAGGTGTAACTTATGCATAATGAGAATACAAGAAGGAGAAGACAGAAGAAACAGAGAAAATATTTGAAGCAATAATGGCTGAGAATATTCCAAAATTAATGACAGACAAAAAATAACAGATCCAGGAAGTGAAGGGAGCATCAAGCTGGATAAATAAAACCAACCAAACAAAAAAAACTATACCTTGCCAAAGTGAAAATCTTAAAAGAAGCTGGTGGGGGAAAGGTGGAAATTTACTTACAGGGGAACAAGGATCAGAATTACATTGGACTTCTCTTACAAACTATGGAAACGAGAAGACAGAGGAGTGAATTACTCAGTGCTGAAAGAAACCACACCAACCTAGAATTCTGTATCCTGCAAAGTTAACCTTCAAAAAGTGAAAGAGAAATAAAGACTTTCTGAGGCAAATAAAAATTTAGGGAATTTTTTCTTTTTCCTTTTTTTCTTTTCTTTTCCTTTTTTTTTTTTTTTTTTTTTGCCAGTAGATCTGCCTCACAAGAAACGTTAAAACTCATTTCAGAGAAAACATTCCTTACAGAGGTAATTAATTTTTATCCTCACATGAATACAAAAGTGTCAGACAAGAAAGAAGTGAAGGTAAAATAAAATATTTTGTTATTCTTATTTGATCTAACAGATAACAGTTTGTTTAAAATAATAACAGTAACAATGTATTTTGTTTACAGATAAGCAGAATGAATGTCAGCAATGTTATAAGTGACAAGAGAGAAGAACTGATTATACTGTTATAAGGTACTTGTACTACACATGAAGAGGTGTAGTGTCTAGTGTCATTTGAAAGAAATACTGGAAAGAAAAATCTACTACACCTGGCAATTTTCCTGGATTTCTTCTGATTCCTAAGAAGTTGCCATAAAGATAAAAGTTAAGTGAATCCACAATGGAAGTGACAGAAAAATAATTTTGAGAT